CTTAAAGACTCTTTTCTCATGGACAACTTTTACAGTTAAAATCATGGTACACATACAATCAATTTATATACGACTATTCCCTTATATCAGAAGGTGATCATCTAGCCTGTGGAGACTTTGTAATTATCATAAAAGTACTTTTAAGGGCCACCCTACAGTCTTCAGTGGGTATCCAACTCTTCTGTCTGATATTTCAATTACCCTGTATCCAGAATTTAAATGAAATAAGTGTTTGAAAAGGAAGCAACCCATAACTTGGTGCCCTTTACAACCTGGTCAGTATAGTCCAGACAGAATTTAACTCTTCCTACATGTAAGAGCCTGCACTGGAAAAATGTCACACATGACTCTGAATCTCCTGGGGACAAGTAAGACTTAGGCTTCCGTTAAAGCATAGCTGGCCCTCTGTATCAGTGTGTTCCACAGCCAGGGATTCAACCAACTGAGGATAAAACACTTTCAGCAGGGGGAAAGAAATCCAGAAATTTCCAAAAAGCAAAATGTGAATCTGTCACCTGCTATCAACTATTTACATAGCATTCAGATTGTACTTACAACTGTTTATGCAGCATTTACATTGAATTAAATGTTATAAGTAAAACAGAGATTTACAGCACCTGGGAGAAAAAAAATTAAAAAACAAAATAAAAAACAAAAAATCAACAAAAAGAACATTGTAAGTCAATTATACTTCAATAAAAATTATAAAACAAAAAAATAATAAAGTATATGGGAGGATGTGTATAAGTTATATGCAAATACCACATCATTATATACAAGGAACTAGAAGTATCTGTGGATTTTGATATCCATGTGGGGGAGTCCTGGATCCAATCCCACCCCACCCCCCATACTGAGGACAAATGTATATATCTGAGATCTTCAATTTTAAAAACCAGGTCAAAAGGCAGGTTTGGAACAACAGACATTTTTGGACAATGAAGCATCATTACATATATCTTGATTTACATATGAAATACTTAAGGAGTTATCTCTGGGTGGTGGGATTATAGGTGATTCCTATTTTTATATTTTGCTTATTGGTCTTTAGTTTCATATTTTTAAACAATGAACATCTATAAAAAATAATTTAGCTTCTCTCCAATAGGATCTCAGTTGTGTACTTCTATCCAATTACGTGTGTATGTGTGCGTGCGCACAAAACAGTCTGGAAGGAAATGCACTAAAATGCTAATGGTGTTTTTCTCAGGCTAGTGGGATTGTTGGTCATTTTTTGGTTTGGATTTTATATCACTCTGTATTTTCCAGTTTTTAGAAACAATAGGCATGTGTTACTTTTATAACATAAAAAATTGTAAGACCCTAACAAAATTGCCTGTTCTCCAAGCACAGAAAGGAACATCATCTGCCTTTTAGCAATTCCTCCAACACACAGGGCCAGACACACACACCATCCGCTCCCACGTGCACCTGCTCACGCACACATGCTCATTCTCACACACAGGCCAATCCAAGCCTAGGACTGCAAAGGACAGTGAAACAACCGAAAGGTGTGGCCAAACGTCCTCAGGGAGTTCCAAGCGCCCACCAGTGGAGGGCTGAAAAGGAATGAACAGCAGGGAGACGCCTGTGCGTGGACACCACCTCCAGCAGCCTCCTTACTGAGAAGCACAGGCAGGGCCCACAAGGTTACTGAAGGGCGTTCCTGCTCCAGCGGGCAGAGCTCTCTGGAAAGGACCCTAGACTGTTTAAATGCCCAAGTGAGCGCTATCCTGTGACAATAATCTTTACTATTATAATGAATTTCTTTGAAAGATAACACTGAAAGAAACCAATCGTTTCTCACAGTACTCTTATTTTACAGTACAGTTTATTTCACAATTTCTTCTTTATGATAAGTTGGTGATAACTACAAAAGCATCTGTCCTTCTTCATGAAAGGGTCACGTCCACGAGGCATCTTCAGAGATGGTCGAGGCCTTAAAGATAAGCTCTTGCAACTTGACAACCAGTGCCTGGGCACATCTGACTATAAATTCCTGGTCAAGAACACACAACCAGAAAGCACCGCTGTAGTTCTTTCTCCTTTCAATTCCTGCCAACACTGTATTATATTACAGCACACCTGATCTATCACCAGATGAGGTAATGAGAACCAAATACACCATGACATTGCTAAAGAGAGAGGGACACAAAAGCCGTCTGTATTATAAATGGGAACTACTTCTATTAAAAATTCAGATAATCCACTTAAATAATTCAAAACACTTCCTTCATAAACAGATTACAAAAAAGATACTGCAAGTGCTACCTTTGACAATTTGACAATAATCAAGTTACTATCACCAAGGACAGTAATGTGACCAGCCTAAGAGTCTCATGCACTCTGTATTTTGAAATCTCAAGGTAGAAAGTACAAATACTTATGCTCTTTATTGCTGTGTGTTCCTACAGTTTACAAAAATTATGAATGTTTTTAAAAGAATTATCTTCTAGAGATATACACCGAAATATTTATGGATGACATGATATGTCAGGTATGTGCTTCAAAAGTAATCTAGGAGTGGGGAACAGGGAGTTTACAAGTGAACCAGGACTTTGGAAACTGAGCAATGGCTTGGGGGCAGGTAGAGGGTTTCACCAGACTTCTCTCTATTCTTAGGTATGTCCAAGACTTTCCATTTTTAAAAATTAAAAATATTTATCGAGGTAGAATGCTTCACTTTTCTCTAAAATACTTCACTATCAAAGAATATTTCTTCTCTTTGCTCCTCTATAATGTATTCTGACACTAGACTTGGAAAAGGAAGTCTGAGTCATAACAAAAGCTAGCAAAGGTTACACACACACAAAAATCAGCCTTTCACTACCCTGTTAATTATCTGCTCCTAAACAAGAGCTGCCCTCCACCATCCCAGGAAGCTCGTCCAAGTCCGGTACTCAGATCACATCCAACTCTGCTTCTTCCCCAGCAGTCCTGGGAGCAGACAGAAGGGGCAGTGCCACAGCAGACCTCCCTCACTTGCCCACTCCCACCAAGTCCTGAGTCATCCTGGACTCACCCCCAAACTCAAGATTCCACCAGGAGCTCCCAGAGCAAAGAATGTCAACTCAGTTCTACTCTGAATAATATTTAGAAAAAACTCAGCCCCAAATAGCAACCTAAAGTTTTTCCCACTGTGATCAATAAGAATGTCACAACAAAAGGTGGTTCCCAAATGAAAATGATTTTATGATAATCAATAAGATGAAACTTTGTGGGATTAAAGTTTAGGGCCACCAAACCTAACCGGGAGCCATCTAAATGTCATGAGCAGAAGAACCTAGTCCCTGTGTCAACACTGACAATCTGTGAGGCCTTGGAAAGTTACTTGACATTTATGGGCCCCCAGTTTCTCACCTGTGGGATGAATCTCTTCCATGTATGACTGCCTCAGAGAAAGGCTGATGACCCAGGGAAAACACAAATGAGCCTCCTATAAGCTATAAAGCACTGCATCAAAGTCAGAGTATGGTAAAGACAAATGTGCCAATTCCCTAACATGCTTGATGGGTGTGATGAAGAAGCGTGTGTTTAGAGAGAAGACACATCGTTCTACTGAAAAACAACTAAGGATGCCCAAGGTGCTCTCCAGCTGGCGGGCAACAAAGAAAAGCATCAAACACCTGAACCACTGATCACAACCCATGAGAACCATACAGGACACTGTCCAGCGATCACAATCCAGGTTAATCTCTCTCATTAGACTTAGAAAGGGTCTAATGGGCACATCTCTCTCTCTGCCCGTTAGACTAAGAGATGGGAGACCTGTCCTGGGCAATGTCTTCAAACCAGAGCTACACAGAAGCGTCACACTGACCAAGAGGTCAACATTCAGGATACCCATATGGACACGTTCAGACTGAAAACTCAACAAGGAGCCCTGAAGCAGGATGACCCAGTTCTTTACATGACTGCTCAATGGACACCATGAATACTCAAGGGGCACAGAGATCCTGTATAAAAGTTCTTAACGTTCTGGCAGACACCCTACATACCAGGGTGTCAATTTTACCTCTTAGCTTAAACATGCATATGTACCTCACATGTACCTGAACGCCCACTTCACATGTATGAATAGTATGAACATTCACATGTATGAAAAGTCAATTAAATACAAACACCAGCAGATCAGCCTTTGGAATATCTCATCACTGAACAATGTATTTAAAAGAACACCTAAAAAAAAAAAACAATAAAATAAATAAATAAAAGAACACCTGTCACCTGTGTGATGTCTATCCGGGTTAACAGCAGGACACACACAGCCACACTGTTGTCTCCACCTGAACTTCCATAAGCGCTGAGTGGGGGAAGGCCTGGACCTTGAAGCTCACTTTCTCCCACAGCAGCGCTGCCCTGGCAGCGGCTCAGGATCCCCTGCCCTGTGCGTTCCCTCACCTGCCCAGCACCTCACCTGTCCTACAAGAGTGGAGGTGCACCTGATGGAGTTCTGTGGAGTCTGTATTCACCGCGGTGCTCTAGGGTTCATCCCTCTCCCTTGTGCACAGAAGGTAGGAAGTGAACGTTTTTAGCCTTCACTGTCTCCCAAATAACGAACCTACCTAGAACACAAGCCAACCAAAGACGGTGAAGTAACTGCGCTCAAAATAGATTATTAATATGATCTTAAGTATCCAAGTGCAGCCTGGCCTTTGCAGACAGGAGTGAATTACTTCAGCCAAACCGAACTTGGGCTCTCAGTTGGGAGACCTGCTGGCACCTGTCCATCCGGGGGGCACTTCTATGCAGCAGACAGGGGGCATGTCCCCAGGCCAGGAGCTACCCTCAATTTAGGAAAGATCCAGCTGTGTGGCTTGGGATGGCAGGGAAAGAAACTGACTCTCGGGAATAAAACCTCTTGAAAGGGGGAAGATGTGCTTCAGCGAATTCAACCAGAGATTAGGGGAGAAGCGGTGAATCAGAAGAGAAGCGGGACCCCTGGCCTCCACTGCACTCCGCGACCAACGTGAGGGCCCAGCCTTCACGCGGCGAGTTACCTGCTCCGCCCCGTAGACGGTGGCGAACTGGACGAAGTCCTCGATGCGCACGAAGCCGTCCCCATCCCCGTCCAGGGCATCGAATACGGCTCGGAGGCGGGGGCTATCCTCCGGACACCCCGCAGGCTCGCTCGTGAGGGGGTGAGTCTGGCTAAAGTCAGAGGGCCCGTCCGGGTCCCCGGGACCCAGTTCCAGGGCCGGATGGCCCACCTCGGGCGCCACGAAGGAGGGGAAGAAGTCGACCTCGCCCCTCAGGTGATGGCTGCGGCTGAAGTCCTGAGCGCGGACGGACGCGCTGTGCGCGGGGCCGTCACCCTCCGGCTCCATCGTCCAGGAAAAGAGCGGGCCGAGCTCCGGCAGCGCCAGGTCAGGGTCGGAGTCAGGGTCGGGGTCGGGGTCGGGCTCCCGACCCACGTGCTGCGGCCGCCGCTCCCAACCCGGAGATCGCCCAGCATCCACGCCGGCCGCGGGGTCCTGCGGGCCGAGCCCCGGGCTCCGGACGGGGGCGGACAGCGCACCGGGCCCGCCAGGCTCCGGGTCGGGGCCCGGGCCGCCCGCGGGGGAGGCCGGCCGGCCCGGCTCCATCTTCATGGGCGCGCCCCCGGCCGCGGCGCGGGCCCCCGAAGCCAGTGGTGCTGCGGGCGGCAGACAAAGGCGCTCAGGGCGCGGCGGCGGGCGCGGGCATCCCCACGGCGGCGCGGGCGGGCGCGCGCGGGGCGCCCGGGCTGCTCCGGCTGGCTCTCGGGCCCTGCTCCGCCCTCGCCCATCTTCGCGCCGCGCCTCAGCTGTCCTCGGCCCGGCGGCGCGGCGGGCGCGGGCCCATGGCGGCGGCGGGCGGCCGAGGGAGGTCGAGGGGCAGGGCGGGCCGGGACTCTGAGGCGCAGGACGCCGTGGAGGGGACCCTGAGGAGAAGAGCCCCGAGGACGCGAATGAGAAGGATGACGCCGAGAAGGCGACTGAGGTACCGGAGCGCACGCCACCTCCCTCGCCCCGCTCTTCGCCGGCCTGACGTCAGCACGTCGCGCCGCCGGCTGGCCCCGCCCCTCGCCGACCAGGTATAAAGGCAGGCTCCGGCGCGGCAAGGCGGCCTGGGTAGCTCACCCTCGGGGTGGGGTCCCGGAGGCGAGAGTGCTCGGAGGCTGCGGACCCGGGCGTGACGTCACCGACCCACGCGCGGGGCGGATAGACTGAGTGCTGCCGGCGTAAAGCGCCCCCACAACACGCAATGAACGCGATCCTGAAGGGGCCGGGCACGTGCACGTGGCGCCCCCAACAGACGCCTGCTGCGCGGAGACTCCCCGCCTGAATAGGGAAGGGCCTTGGAAACGCGGTCTGTCCCTAGTGACCGAAGGAACGCGTGGGCACACACTGAGACCGTTTTTAAAATCTGCGACAAGTTTCCCCCCCAACACACAGGCTATCCAGTGTTCGTCGCCAGTGTACTGCCAGGCCTCCCAAGCGCTGCGGCAGCAGTCTTTGACAACTGACATCTGTTTCTCTAGATGTCACTGTCGTCAGTGGGGACACAGGGCGCCAGACAGCAGCACAGGCACGTTGCAGCAGGCATAAAAGTGGAGACATGCAGATGGGAGTCCGTAAGCTGCCAGGCCCCAGGCAAGGTGCATGTAGCATTACAGGCTCCATCTAGAGCCTGTAATAAGATGCGGGGGGAACGGACTGCCCCGGCTGTGTTCATGAACAGCTATGGCGAGAACCAAAGGAGACTGAGCCTGCTTCCAGGCGTACTGTGACGAGCGGTGTGTTGGTTAACTGAGTCATCTGCCATGACAAAATCCCAGGGCATGTGGCCCCAGTGTTTGTGAGGCTGGCATTGGGAAAAGAAGGGTAAAGGAATACCCCCAATCCAAAAACTATATTCTCAGTTTCTTATAAGAGCTCTATGCTTTCATGAGGAAGATACTGCACTCAAAGGAAAAAAAAAAAAATCACCTCCAGGGACTTCCCTGACGGTCAGGTGGTTAAAAATCCACCTGCCAACGCAGCGGACACGAGTTCAATCCCTGGTCCAAGAACTAAGATCACTCATGCCACAGAGCAGCTAAGCCCATGTGCTGCAACTACAGAGCCCAGTGCTCTGGAGCCCATGAACCGCAGTTGCTAAGTCCTGGAGCCACAGCTACTGAAGCCCACCCTCCCTAGCTGCTGCTGCTGCTGCTAAGTCACTTCAGTCGTGTTCCACTCTGTGCGACCCCATGGACTGCAGCCTACCAGGCTCCTCTGTTCATGGGATTTTCCAGGCAAGTGTACTGGAGTGGGTTGCCATTGCCTTCTCTGACCCTCCCTAGAGCCCGTGCTCTGAAACAAGAGAAGTCATCGCAATGAACCCCAGGCACCGCAACTAGAGAGTAGCCCCTGCTCACCGCAGCTGGAGATAGCCTACATGCAACAATGCAGAGTCCATGCCTTGCAACAGAACTCAGCACAGCCAGAAAAAAAATTATCTCCAGTTTTGGTGAGAATTTGAAATTGGACTGATGCCTTTGGCCACATACAGCTTTTAAAGGTACTTATAGTGATGTGTCAGCTTTTCTAAATAAGGATGTTAACATGGGGGAGGTGAAACCAAATGAGGCAAGGGCTGCACCCTCAAGGAAACAGCTCTCTTGCTGCTGTGCCAGTTTGTGAAAAATCTGCATTCCTTGGCTGGCCGATGTACCCAAACAGAAGCCCAGCATGGAGAACACGCACCTTCCTGCTTGGACCACTTCAAGAGACTCTGTCCCTGGAACATTAAATGTGACAAGTGCCTGGTCAGTCATTTGGACCTCCAGCATCCACGTAGATATTTTCCATCTCTAACGTTCAAGACAAAATGAACCAGCTCGAGGGAAGCAGCCCCAGCTGCCGTTTTGACCTGCTCCTCCATGCCCACCCCATGCATATTTTAATTTAGCCATGTAACAGGTACACAGAAGAGGAAGGGAGAGGGTGGGGTGGGTGCAGCTCACATCTGTTGGCATTTAGGCCTGAGTGACTGTCTGTGAAAACCTCCCTCTATGAGTCCTTCTTTTTGAAAGGTACCTGGGATAAACACTTACCTTTTGGTACTCTCAAGCAAATGGGTCTCCTTAATCACGCTTCCCTGGTGACCTTTGACCTACAGAGAAAGATGGGAAAAAGAAGACCAGCAGGGTGACTCAGCAGATTCCTAGCACAGAACTGTTGACAGGGGAGCAGAGGGAAAGTAGGTCAGGAAGCCTCAGTGGAAGAATGCACAGGTCTCCCCTGGGGACAGGCCTCTCCACTGCCTGGGTGAGAGCTGGCCACTGACCGCAGCAGGGTAGGAGGATGACAGGCAAGGCTAAATCTGATCACAAATATCTCTTATTTAATGCATATCTCAAAAAAAAAAAAGAAACAAAAATTATAGTGGACATTACATATGTTTCCCCCATTTTTGCTAGTCTGATGAACTTAAAATGGCATCTCATCTTGTCTTATTTGAATTTAGCTGAAATGCTAGTGTGGTGGAGCATATCTTGCTATGTTTACTCACCAACTAGGGTCTGTGAACTGCCCACTTGTAGCGCTTGCTTGTTTTTCTTTTGGGTTCTCTGACTTTTTCTTTAGGGAAATCTCTCATCAGTTTTTGATACTGCAAATATCTTCTCCCTGCTTGTGGCCCCTTTGTGATCTCTGTTGGAGAAAATTAGACATAAATCTTTAATTTTTAGTAGTCAAACCCATTACTTTTATCCTTGATGACTTTACTAATAAGAAAAGATCTACTTTTCTATAGCTGGTGCCAGTTGTCTGTACAGAAACCTTACAACTAGATCCCAACGTGACATCACATACAAAAAATAATTAGAGAAATAAAAAATAATAATAATTAGAGAAATCAAAGACATAAAAGTGCAAAGTGAGGGAATCACCTGGCAGTCCAGTGGTCAGGACTTACCCCTGCCAAGGGTGCAGGTTCAAACCCTGGTCAGGGAACTAAGATCCTGCTAGCCACAAGGTGTGGCCAGAAAAAAATAAATAAATAAATAAAAACTTTAAAAGCTTTAGAAGACTTTGAAAAATATCTTTATGATCTTGGAGCCGGAACGTTTCTTACATAAGAGTAAAAATTACAAACAAAGAGAATGATTTGAAGTTAAATACATTAAACTTTAAACTTCCCAAAAGTAAAGGAACACAAATCAGATTGAGCAGGGCTGGGGGAAAGGGAAATTAGTTGGAGTGAAGGAACTGTTTCATACCTTGATTGTAATGGTGGTTTTATAACTGAAATTGTTTATCAAAATTCACAGAACTGTATACTACAAAGAATGAATTTTACTATATGTAAATTATACCTTAGTAAAAATTAATTTTAAAAACTTCGCTTTCTGTTTGACGCAAGACACATCATAGATTGGTGTCTTAGTCTGCTCATGCTGCTATGACCAAATGCCATATACTGAGTGGTTAAAAAACACATTTAGGTTTCACAATTCTGCAGTATGAGAAGTCTGAGATCATGTTGCCAGTGTTAACCTAAAACAATTAAAAAACTGACTATTTTACCAGCAAAATGGGTTTATTCAGAAGCAGCAAAGATTTATAATTGGAGACATACAACTATGGCCAGCAAAGGCGAGGAACTGCTTTTATAGAGGAGAAGCGGGGGTTGGAAGAGGCTGTTATGAGCAAAGTGTCCATTGGAGGAAAGTGGGAGTTCAGAGTGCAGTGGCTTTTCACTGGTGAGTTGTGACAAGCTCTCATTGGCTGGACTGTTGCTGAACAAGAGAAACTGTTGCTTCCTGCTGCTGGGTGGTAAAGCAGTGGCAGATACTGGGATCTGCGCTGTTGAGAGGTAAGTGCCTGAAAGCGCCCCCTTGTGGGAGCCCGGCTCTAGTTTCGTGGAGCTCCAAGTCCAGGAGGGGCCATCCCAAGGTCAAGGGGAGCATCTGAGGTGGGCAGGGGTGACCCCAGTGCCCCAGGGAGGCCTGGGGGGGCCCTGGTGATGCCAGCAGGAAAGGGCAGAGGTCTGTTCGGGAGGAAGAAGGGACCTGCTGCAGACCTGAGATGGGGTCAGGGCAAGGGAGGAGCAGGGCCACCAAGCAGCCTGCCCCCGGGCACCCCAGGAAGGGGTTCTGACCTCGGCTGTGGGCCACGCCCCTGCCGCGTGTCCCACCTTCTCCCACAGAAGAGGCTGGCCTCGCCCTCCGGCCTGAGCCACCACCCTAGCTGGGTAACCTGGGGTGAGGGGCAGAGAGAGGTAAGGGGCCTTCCAGCTGGGGGAGAGGCTTTGCAGGCGCCCGGCGTGTCTGTCCTCTTGACTGTGGTTCAGGGACGCAGACGGTCGGAGCTCACCAAACTCTGCTTGTCACTCGTGTGCAATCTGTCAAATGCTGATAATACCTCAATCAAGCTGCAAACAAAAACTGCTGGCCACATATTTTCAATCTGTGATTTTGAAAACAACACAAGCATTTTGCATGGGGTAAGCACACCAAGAGCAGGGTCGACTTAGGTCTAGATCACACCCACCCTCCCCACGGCCCCTGCAGCCGGGGGCGCAGTCCACACTTGTGTTTACCGATATTTATTTGGGGGGGAAGGGTTTTTTTCTCACTTTCAAATTTAGTAAAGTACATTTCTTAGAGTAAAAATAGACCATGAGTTTGTAAGTCACAGTTTAACTCCTCCTGAGGCAGCCAAGGTTTGGATGATTTCCTTATCTTGACGTCTCACTCTGCAGTTCCTGTGACGACAGGCATCTCCAGTCCTTGTGGTGCCCACGTCCACACCCTCCGAGCCTCCCCTGCAGCCAGGATCCCAACCCGTGTCTGGGGAGGGGCGCCGAGGACCAGCCTCAGAGGTTTGTACGCAGATCCAGGACTTCCTGTTTTAGCCTCAGGTCATGGTTTCCAGAGGTGAAGATCTGATTCTTAGCACTGTCCTCCCATGGGGTAAAAATTTTCCAAATTACACATGATGGTGGAAGAGTTGAAAGTTAACTCTGTAGATTTCTGACATTCCTTATTCCTTCTTCAGCAGACTTCTGTCAGTGCTGTCTTTGGCAAGATGCTCTGATGTACACATGCGATGAGGTGCCCCCCCAGATACTCCTAAATTTGGAGATAAAGTTATCCTCTGGGACTTCAATTAATGAACTTCATGCCCTGTCCATAGGGTCGCAGAGTCGGGCACGACTGAAGCAACTTAGCACATACTGATGACATGTGTCACCTAGGAAATGATGCAAGTCAATCAGTGAATAAGTGACTAAAGAGTTTGAAAAGCATCTGTTTGCTGACAGGTTAAAGTAGGTCTGATCCCAGAGACCTGAACCAGAATGCAGCGGTAAATATGAAATCCAGGGAAGGAGCTGGTTCCCCAAGACACCTAGGACAGAAGAGTCAAGTCGGATAGAGAAGTGAGCAGGGAGCCTCTGCCGTCTCCGGCTGGGTCTCAGGTTTTGCCAGCAAGGGTACCCAAGGCTCATGCAATCACACACACACATACACACTCAGCACGCTAGTCTGCACATTGGTCTCTAGTGAATGTGTCTGGTGTGAGTCAGGATCCACATGGGACGCCTGCTCACATGCATGTTCTAGAAGTGTTGGGAGCTGCCAGGTTCACATGATGCAATCAACTCTGTGTGTGTGTGTGTGTGTGTGTGTGTGTGTGTGTGTGTGTTAGTTGCTCAATCATGTCCGACTCTTTTTCAATCCCACGGACTGTAGCCGCCAGGCTTCTCTGTCCATGGAATTCTCCAGGCAAAAATACTGCAGTGGAAAAAAAAAAATATTGCAATGGGTAGTCATTCCCTTCTCTAGGGGATCTTCCCTATCCAGGGATCAAATCCAGGTCTCCTATATTGCAGGTGGATTCTTTACTAGCTGAGCCCCAAGGGAAGCCTGAAATCAACCCTTGGCCTCCTTTATTGAGCAAGAGCCAGACCCTGACCCAAACTGGGACCCGTGTCTGACCAAAGGAATGCTGTCCCCCTCTCTGTAGGGGGCTGGATCACAGCTTGCACACAGGGAGTCTGACAAAGAGCAGATGGGCAGCGAGGGGAGGGGGGTGGTTCACAGGGCAGGTGGAGGTGGGAGAAGGAAGACCCCAATCCCCAGCTTCATCCCCAAGCTCCAGAGCATCCCACCCCTGGAGTCTGGGAAGGTCCCAGGATCTCCTGCTGTTTCCCCTCTAGCATCCAACAGAGACTGGCCCAAGTGCCCAGAGGGAAATGCCCGAGGGTGCCCACACCCTCTTCGCAGCCTGAGAAGCCCCCACCCCAGAGGGCCCCTCTGCCGTGCCCAAGAGGGCACAGCTGCCCGGCTGCAGCATGCCTGGGCCTCAGGGCTGAGCCTGGGGCGAGCAGGACGCCTGCCTGGACACGCAGCCCCGGGTGAGGGCTTGACCACTGCAAGGTGAGCTGGGTCTGACCACAGGAGAACCCTGCCCAGGGCTCAGCGTCTCTCCCTGCGTCACTCAGTGAGGCCACGTCTCTGGCTGAGAGGAAATTCAGGAGGGCCAGTCGTGCTCATGCTGGCCCCCAGCCAGGGCACCGGGCAAAGGGCTCAGTGTGCACGGTGGGTGGACAGCATCCTGTGCGGTCAGCCTCAGCCTCTCAAGTCTCCTCCTGCATCAGGCGGCCTGGTCCCGGCCAATCCCACAGGGCCCTCTGGGCCACCAGAGACCAGTGGGGAGGACGCCACCCAGGGACCCAGAGCGAGCACTGCACAGTCTCCAGTCCTTTCGAGGTGACCCAAGACAAAACACGGGCAAGCCAGTGTGTTACCAGGTTACCACGGCAACAGGAGGAGTGGGCTGGGAAACTCCTCGAGACTATGCTTATTTAAGGCAATTTTGAGGTTCCCTGTGCGATGCCTTGGGAACCTTGGGGACACCCCACATGACTCCATACAAGGGTGAACAAGTTGGGGTCATTCATATATTCACTCAACAGAGTGTGCAGCGTGAAGCAGGGGCTGGAAGGCTGAACCCCGGCGGTGGGCAGCCTCTGCCATGGCTTGATGTTTTTATGTACGGTGCTGAGAAGACAGGATACAGGCTCACCCCACAGCAGGGGGACTCAGAGTGGGCGGGGCCTATAAACCAGCCTCCGCAGCTGAGGTTCATGCATGAAAAATGAGCCTTCGTTTCAGTGAATCTTTCTAAGAGAATTTTAGAGATTGTTAAAGAAGAAGGGGACAACCTAGTTCTCTGCCAATTGCCACCGAGCTCAAGTGCCATTGCTGGGTCCCGTGTTGGCCAGTCACCATGTGCACCTGGCCCTCCTTGCCAGCCTGTCCAGAGCCCAGCCAGCAAGTGAGCAAGTGACAGGTGCCAGGCATGCCTGTGACCGAGCACCCCGCAGCCATCCTAGACCTGCGGGACGACAGCCAGGGCTGGTGGACTAATGGAACAGCAAGGTCGATTTCTTCAACTTTTCAAGTCAGGGATTTTTAAAAGTTATTTAGCAGTTTATTTCTGGCTGCACTGGGTCTTCATTGCTGCGTGTGGGCTTTCTCTAGTTGCAACATGCAGGCTTCTCGTTGTGGCGGCTTCTCTTGGTGCAGAGCACGGGCTCTAGAGCGAGCCAGCTTCAGTAGTTGCAGCACATGGGGCTCAGTTGCCCGCCAGTGTGTGGGATCTTCCTGGACCAGGGACTGAATCTGTGTTCCTGCACTGGCAGGTGGATTCTTAACCACTGGACCCCAGGACAGTCTGCGAGGCCAATTTCTTACAGGTGAGCTGACCACCACATGCAGATGATGAAGACTGGGGGACAGACTTCACGGTGTGTGCAACTTTGTGTCCACTGGACGGGGCCGATGGACACCCAGGTGGCTGGTCACCTGGTATTTCTGGAAGAGAGTTGCATTGATTCAGTACCTAGAGGACCTGCCCTCAGCAGTGGCAGCACAGGAAGCGCAAGTCCCTCAGCCTCTGCCCCGGACCATCAAGTCCCTGGTGCTTGGGCCTTCAGGCTCAGACTGAATCACACCATCTGCTTTCCCGAGGCTCCAGCTCGCAGTCGGCAGATCATGGGACTTCTCAGCCCCCACAGTCACATGAGCCAGTCCCTATAATAAATCTCCTCCTGTGGATCTATATATATCCCGCTGGCTGCCTTTCTCTGGAGCACCCTGACTAGCAGTAATGAGAGGCTCACTCTCACTCTCGGAACCGCCTGCCACTCTCTTTCGTCCTCCAGGAGCTGAGCCGCCGCGCCCCACGCCCTCAGATGTGGCTGGTGGGACAGCCTCCCTGGGCCTTCTCCATCTCCTCGGGGACAGCAGGCTCCAGCTCTCAGGCATGAGGGGTCTGTGGCTGCCTCTCCCCGGGACCTGCCTTCCCGCCATCGCAAGTGCCCACTTGCCTTGCTGGTGGACCTCCTGGCCTCTGCTTAAGCGGCAAGCAAGACCCCTATGCCCACTGGGTTCCCTGCCCCTGCACCGCGGGGGCGGGAAGGAACTCAAGTGGGTGCGGGTGCCTGGGGCAGAGGGCTCAAGCCCAGAGCGAGCGGCAGCACCAGGACCAGCCTCGGAGGACATCCCTCCCACCCGTGGAGCCAACAGCCTCCCCTAGCTCCTAGGCTCCCTTCATCTGCGGGGAGGGAGGATTTCAGGCATTAGACAAAGGGTTTTCTAAAGTCTTCACAGGAAAAAGACAAAATGGAGACACACTGCTACCTCTCAGCGCCCAGATAACCAGTGTCCAAGTGTCCTCCTTCTCCTTCTAAAAATATTGTGAAGTCCACTGAATATATAATTTTATAGTAAAATGTTTATTTTTTAAGGAAATGCATTTTCTGGCAAAACTCTAGAACCTGTGCTTATGCAAATAGATGATATGGGAGAGGGTGCAGAGGAGGGCAAGTGAGCTACCTATCCAGCCAGAGGGCACGCCAACAGCTCTAAGTATGCTGAAGTTTTTAACAGCACAGAAAACAAGCCCAGGATCCAAATGGCCCCCTTAGAGCCTGGCCTGAATGTGTGTCAGAGAGCGGTCACTGGGGAACAACTGAGGCAGAGATCCCCCTCCCCCGGGCCTGAGGGAGGGTAACAATGGGGCCAGGCCTCCTGGAGGGTCCAGAGAGTGAGCCCCCAACGACCAAGGACCAAGTCCTCTCCAGGGCAGGTGGGAGCACCCTGACCTGTGCCGGCAGAGGTCCTGTCTGCAGCCCACACACCCGGGGGAGAGGACGCAGGACACAGGCCGGGGGGCAGCGCTCAAACACACTTCTCTAGCCTTCCCGGTTTGGCATTTCTGTCAAGCAAAGGTCTCAAAGCGGGAGAGCAGGAGAAGACAGCCTGAACCACCTTCTTTTCTCCACCCAGGCCGCGGGAACCACCTGGAGGCACCCCCTGGACACAGGCAGAAGAGAAAGGAGACCAGCCTAGGTGGGCTGGGCAGCAGGGCAGCGCCGACCCTGGGTCGGGCCGGGGCACACTCCGGGGGCCTGGCCAGGTGCTGGAGCACAGGCTGCCTGAGGGTGTACGGGCAGGTCCCTGCCTGGTCACTGCCCCCTTCCCTGCGCACAGAGATAGGGCCGTGGGCAGGGAACGTGGGCGCAGCACCGCTCCTAGAGGAAGGGCCGGTCTCTCTTCAAATGCTTGGCTGGGACTGCTGGGTCTGGCGCTCAGGCTGGGCAGGCGGGCGGGTGGCAGGTCTGGGGTCCGAGAGTGGGCTGTGGACCAGTCCCTTGCAGCGCGCTGTCCATTGCCTGTCAGAAGCAGCAGCAGCAGACACCAGGTCACTGGGGCACCGAGCGATGCCAGGCCAGCCCCCTACAAGCCCTGGGGGAGTGAGTGGCAGGCGGGGGCAGACAGCAGGCCACAAGGCCTGTGTGTCTCCTGAGGCGGACACGGTGGCGCCCTGCCTCCTCCCCACCCTCCCCCAGCACTCTCCACCCGTGACTGGGGGGCCTGCCCAGCACCCACGCCCTCCTGCCGCTTGGGGCCTTGCTGCCTCCTCCCCCGCTCCCACCCCCACCCCACTCTGTGTGTCTGGAGGACTGAGAACGCGTCTTGTCATTCAGATGCTAAGTCACATCCAACTCTGCGACCCCATGGACTGCAACACTCCAGGCTCCTCTGTCCTTCGCTGTCTCCTGGAGTTTGCTCAGACTCCTGTTTGTTGGCTATGTCTGCCAGCCAGCACACCAGAGGGCCAACTAGCATCACTTGTCTTACAAGCAGGCCCACCCCTGAGACCAGGGGTTCCTCTGGAAGCCGGCACCAACCACAGCTTTGTGGGGAGGCCGAACACTGTGAGCCCTGGGTGTCCTTTCACCACAACCACCTCCAACGGGACAGGAACCAGTCCACATCCTGTCTCCACCCTGTGACGGGGACCCAGGAGGCGGGGGGCAGGGGGCCTGCACCTCCTCAGTCACCTCAGAGGAGCTGCTGCGCCGGGGCTAGACTGAGGGCTGCCCATGCCCCTGGTATGCTGGGGAGGACGGGAAGTGGGACCAGCAGGCCCTCAGGCCCCCAGAGCCGGTCGCCCAGGGCCACCCAAAGAGGGGGGCTCCTGTCTGCTTCAGAGGAGTTTGCTAGTCCTGGTTTGCAGGGAGGCCCCGGGGTCTGCAGTGCAGCTGCATGGGGCTGGGCCATCCAGGCTTCGCCCCACGTGTGCAGCCAGGGAGCCTGGGGTGCCTGAGAGCACATCTAGAAACACAGGTAAGAGACTGAGGGGCAAGCGTCAGGCCCAGCGTAGTGACCCCTGGCCACAAGGTGGGTGTCTGGGAAGGGGGCCAAGCACACAGGTGACCCTGACGGTGGGAGCAGGACGTCACCTAGAGCTTAGCTGAGGGTGAGAAATCTGCCAGTGACTGGACGTCATTAGGGAACGTCAGCCAGGCCCCCCCATCAACCACCAGCAGGGCCCCCGTCACAAAGGATGCCAGCGGGCTGGCCAGGAAGAGGGCGCTGTGGGCAATTTCCGTCTTGTTCCCCAGCCTCTGCAGGGGGCTGGCCAGGATCTTCGCCCTCAGGCCTGCCTGTGGGACACCTGGGAGGGAGGAAGAGGTTCAGGCAAGTCCCAGGACCCGGGGCCACCACCTTCCTCTGCCAGCCTCCCCTGAGCTGCATCCTGTAACGCTGGGGATGCCGGCAGCGTTGTCCTGTGCCGGGCCCAGTAACCTCACTGTGGAGCCAGCACAAGGCCTGTCCCTGCTCGCGGCCAAGGCTCTGGAGGCTTCAGCGGGGCCCTTTGTGTGCAGCTCACAAGGCCAGCAGCCCCTGGCCTCTAGCTCTAGGGGCAGCTGCCCAAGTCCAGCCCCTAGCCCCCTGCTGGGCTGTGTGAACTGTCCCCAGGCTGGGGATGGACTCTGCCCACCCAGAGAGCCATGAGCGCTTGTCTCTGATCCCGGGCCTGTCCCACCCAGGCAGGAGGGGAGCCCCTGGAGGTACTGTGGGGCCTGTGCCCAAGGGAGCACCTGCTGGAGGAGCCTTACCCAGACGCCGCAACCCCTCAGTGCCACTAATGGGGCCAGGGGCAAGGCTGTTGACGCGGATGTTCTGGGGGCCCCACTCCACAGCCAGGTGCCGCGTCATCGCATCTGCAGGGGAGGCAGGCCGTGTGAGGGAGAAGCAGGGCTGCTCGGCCTCTGGGGCAGCCCAGACGGGGTGGGGGCACAGCTTTGCTGGGACACTGCCGGCCCCCGGGGACGGGGAGGAACACAGGCGGGCAGACCAGGGGGGTGCCCGTACCCACGGCTGCCTTGGCAGAGCCTGCGTGCACTTGGAGCACCTGTCCCCGAGTGCCCAGGGTCGCAGTGATGTTCACGATTACCCCTCCATGGTCCTGCAACACACGAGGGGGGCAGTGAGCGCACGGCCAGGCCTGGGAGGCCCCCGCCTCGGGACACTCACCCGGAAGAACTTCTCATAGAGCACACGAGACACGTTGAAGGTGCCCAAGGTGTCGATGTCCATCACAGTCTTGAAGGCGTTGGAGGACAAGGCGCTGGCGGGGCACAGGAAGTTCCCAGCTGCACCTGCAGGTGGAAGGAGACGGTGGGTGGTGCTGGAGCCCCAGGCAATCAAAACAATGAGGGGCAGAGCAGGTGTTATGGGTTGGATCGTGTGCTTCAACTCTCTGTAACCCCGACCAGGCTTCTCTGTCCATGCAATTTCCCAGGCAAGAACACTGGAGCAGGTTGCCATTTCCTTCTCTAGGGGATCTTTCCGACCCAGGGATCGAATCCATGTCTCCTGTGTCTCCTGCGTTGGTAAGCAGGTTCTTTACCACTGCACCACCTGGGAAGCCCAGTGTGGGTAAACTTAACTTTATGTGGAAACATGGTCTTTGCAGATGTCATCAAGATAAGATGAGACCATACTGAATAGGGTGGCCTAAACCCAAGGACTGCTGTCCTTAAAGTGGACACAGCCATGCACAGAGGGACAGAGCAGAGACTGGAGGAATGCAGCCAGGGGCCAAGGGATGACAGGCAGCAGCCCCAGGAGCCACAAGCCAGGCCCCAGATAGACTCTCCCGAGCCTCCTGTGGGAGCATGGCCCGGAACATCTTGGTCTCACATCTCTGGCCTCCAGACTGTGAGAGAATGCGTTCCTGCTGTTTTCGCTGCCCAGCTTATGACTTTGTCAATGGCAGAAAAATGATACACTAATTTTGGGGATTTTTTAAAATTAATTTTTACTAGAGTATGTTGTCACGCTGCAAGTTTTTAAAGTAAATTTCAGGAGAAATGAACCTGAACGTAGAGACTACAGTTAACAGTTGTAACAAATGCAAGGTATTCATAGTAGACACGACGTGTGTGTGTTTGTGTGTGTGTGGCAGGAGTGTGGTATGAGTAGTTGTTTACACTGTCTGCTCAATTAGTCTGTGAATCTAAAACTGTACTAAAACAGAGGCTTTCCTGGTGGTCCAGTGATTGAGGATCCACCTTGCAACACAGGGGACGCAGGTTCAATCCCTAGTCCCACATGCCTCGGGGCAACCAAGCCTTCAAGCTGCAAATACTGAGCTTGCGTGCCACCGTCAAGACCCAACACAGTCAAATAAATAAATAAGTATTGAAAAATAAAACTATGCTAAAACAGTCATGTGTCTTCCCTTTTCCTCAATGGGGAACTTCAGGACATGAGAGTGACCCTTCTCTGTGCTTCAGCCTAGTTCTCAGGGCATCCTCCTGAGCCATGGCTGCATAGACCCGGCAGGGGCACAGCTGGGTTGAGACAGTGACCTGAAGCCAGGACAGTTCCAGGGCGTCCAAACAGGAAGGTCTGGTATTGCAGACACGTCAGAAGCCCCCAGTCATGCTCAACAGGGACTCACAGTTGATGAGAATGTCGATCTTCCCGAACTCCTGCAAGGCCTGCTCTACAGCTGCTGCGATGGCCAGGGGAGCTCGGACGTCCAGAGACAGAGGGAGGCACCTCCGGCCAGTGGCAGTGGCCAGCTTTCTGGCAGCCTAGAAGCCAGAAAGGAAGAGAGGTGGGCAGCAGCCTGCTGGCCTCACCTGGAAGCACAGCCTTTCAGGATCCAATGAGGATGATGAGCCAGGTTCTGCCAGGGACCCGGGCTCTGTGGCTGAAACCCACCCTGGGGAGGCACAGCTGCCAAGCGGTCCTCCCCAGGGCCACAACCCCTGGTGGACACTAAGACATCCTGTACCCTCTCCCCTTTCATCACCTTCCAGGCCACTGGTCACAGGTCAACAGCAGCTCCAGCTGATGTCCAGTCCCTGTGCTGAGACCAGCTGTGGCAGGGGAGATATGTTCCCCCCTCAAGAACCTGCTAAGCCCAGAAAACTCTGCTGGGGCCACAGTACCACCCAACAGAAGGGTCGCTTCTCAGGACCCGATAATTAGATTCTGTAAAAACATGAGAGTGTCCCTGGGGACCACTTCCATTGAAGCTCCGTATCTGGGAGACAGGCTGGTTTTGGTGTGGTCACCCTCTGGACCTCAGGACCTTCCAGGTCTAGGCTCCTGGCCCCCAAAGTCACCCACTGATGGCTGGGCACAGGATAGCCCCCTCACCACCGATACTCTGGGAAGACTTCTGCTGGCGATGACTGTGTGGCAGCCGTGCCTGCAAAGCCAGAGAGCAGGAGTGAGGACAGCAAGGCGAAAGGGACACACCCAGCAGAGCTCCTGCCCAGCAATCTAAGGGGCCCCTCCCCCAAGGGTCTCTCAGACTTAGACATCAGCCCGGGGCTGAAGGCACAGCTGGCAGAGGACCCAGAGGCCTACGTGGGCTGAGTGACTGTGGCAGGACCCCTTTCAAATGTTCTCTGACGGACCTGGAACTAGAGGGGTTCCCACCACCGACTGGCATTTTGCCCAGGATCCCAGGCCCCCTCCCAAGGAGGAGGGGGCAGCACGATGGGGCATGGACCACACAGAGCAGTGCTCACTTACCGCATGAAAATCTCAGCAATCCGGAACCCAATTCCAGAGCCACCACCCGTGATGAAAGCCACCTTGTCCCTGAGAGAAAAAACAGACTCTTTACAGAGGCCCCTGTTCAGACTTCCTTGATGGTCCACCGACGGGGACTCCATGCTCCCAATGCAGGGGGCACAGGGGCCACCCCTGGTCAGGAAACTAGACGCCATATGCCGCAACTAAGATCCAGTGCACCTAAATAAATAAATTCTAAATTCTAATTTGTTTAAATAAAAAATAAAAAGAGTAAGGGAATGCTGTTGAATCGGGATGGTGGAGGTGCTCTTCCACTGACCCTCTGCACTGGGCACTTGGGTCAAATTTGAGAAGCACCGCTCTTGAAAGCCTGCATTCCTCGGCTTTCTGAATCTTTGGGAAGAATGATTTCAACCTAGAAGTCTCTATGCAGAAAGCTGTCAATTAATGAGAAATGTTTTCAAAACATAAACCTTCCTCCTGCCACCCTCTAAATGGATAGGATAGCAGATTCATGGAGAGAGAGAAACAGGCAGGCTTTTCTTGACATAAGAGAAGCCATTTGGGGCCTATGCCATTCTGTGATCTAAGCCTGGACACAGTGCTGCCCTCAACAGGTCTCAGAAAAATACAGAAACTAACAACTGTCATCAGGCAAGAGAAGTAACAATGGCCAAGATACGAATCATACACTGGTTGTAAAGTCTCCCAATTCTGTTTTGATGATAAAGATCAGCCTGAAGTGCTGACCAACTGGAACCTGACCAACTGGAACCTCAGAGATGATAGTGACTTTTTCTGACACTCATGACTTTAACGAACTAACGAACTAGCTTGGACGTCGTCAACCACCCAAACCCCTTCTTAAGATGCTTGCACTCTTAGCTTAAAACCTCCCCAAATTTGCTGTTTGGAGAGACAGCTTCGGGGAAAATCTTCAGTGTTCTCCTTACCTGGTGCTGGTAATAATTAATCCTTCCTCTTCCTGATCTTTGCTCTGTATTTTCTGGCACTCGTGCCCACCTCCGCATCGATAAACAGGACATGCTCAAGCAGGACAAAGATCGGAACACCAGTACTTGCCTCGCTGGGATACCCGGACATCTGGACAGCCTGGCCACCAGGCTTGGGGTCCTCACACATCCCAGAAAAACCTCAGTCCCCCGCCGCGAGCACCGCAGGCGCCCCCGCCCCCTGCCCGGCTCCCTGGGGTGCCCCAGACGCGACGCTCACTGGAGCAAGTCCGGACGGAAGAGGTGGTGGTACTCCGGGAGACAGTCGTCCTCGCTGACGTCGGCCGGTGGCTGGGCCATGGCGCTCGGAGCAGACCTGGGTGGCAAAAGCAGCAGAGACCTGCCGGGATCCCAGGACTCTAACCTCGGCCTCAAAGGACAGAAGGCAGCCAGGGAACGCGGACGTCCCGCCCCTCGTCCCCTCGCTCCTCCCAGGAGGCCCCGCCCCGCGCACCTCGCTCCTCCCATGACGCCCCGCCCCGCGCCCCTCGCTCCTCCCATGACGCCCCGCCCCTCGTCCCCATGCTCCTCCCAGGAGGCCCCGCCCCGCGCCCCTCGCTCCTCTCAGGACGCTCCGCCCCGCGCCCCTCGCTCCTCTCAAGCCGGGCCGCCCCTCGCTCCTCCCATGACGCCCCGCCCCCCGCCCCCACGCTCCTCTCAGGACGCTCCGCCCACCCCGGTCCTCACGCCTCCCAGAGCGCCCCGCCCCCGCGACAGTCGCTGCTCCCAGGAAGCCCCGTCCACTCAGTTCTCAATCTCCCCAGGAAGCTCCGCCCCCGCGATCCACGCCTTTCCCAGGTGCCCCGCCCCTCCCCGTCCCAGCCTCTCCCAGAACGTCCCGCCCCCAGGGCCCCGCGGCCTGCTGGGACTGGAAGTCAATTTGCGCGCCGCGGCAGGCGCAGGCGCAGTGCGGCGGGCTGGTTCCCGTTGGCGGAGGCAGGGTGAATGCGAATCGAAACTCAGCTTTCTGGGTTCCTTTTCACAAGACTGGGTGTCAGTGCTGGATTCGGGGCCAGCCGGACACAGGGAACATTTGGTTCCCGGGCTGAGATGGAGCTCACGGGCCGACTCGGGGCCCCTCGGCTCCCTCACCGCTTTGGGCCTTTCTGTGCATTTAAAACACGTATTCGGACTCGCTTAGCATTTAAGTGTCTTCCTCTCCCGGGTGCTTCTCTTCCCTGTTGCAAAGAAGAGGGAAGGAGACTAGAGCCTAGGAAAGTCACGGGAAACTAGGAAGGCCTTTTCCTTGCATGGCCAGCCCCAGGGTCAGCTTCAAACATGACCCTTTCATGGCCAGTTAAAAGGTCAGACCCTTCAACCGCGCCCTCACGTGGAGGCACAGGCAGAAACCTGAGTTGGAACCCAAGGCCAGCGTCGCCAAGACGTCATAAAGCAGGGTTAGGACCAGTCGGCCTCAGCAGGTGTAATGACCTGCAGTATCCAGTACCTGTGACGAGTGTCCAGGGACACACCTGAGGGCCAGGTGTGAGGAGTGACATATGCAGTGTCAATGAGGCCACAGCCTTTCTGCCTTCGGGGTGGCTTCAGCTCCCTGCCTGCCCTTTCCTGCTCCTGTTCACAACTGCCTAGGGCTCCTCCTTGAGGGACAGCACAAGCTCTGTGGCTCAGCTTGGAGCTCCCAGGTTTCAGGCTGGAGGCCTCTGGACCTCTCATACATTCAACAAAGTTCTTGATCTCCTGGTGTGTGAGATGGTAAGCTTCATTTCTCCTTTCAAGCTGCTTACAACTTTGCATTAAGCCTCATTCCCACCTCAGAGATGGCAGGGGCCATAATGAGCACTCCACTCCCATGCACAGCACAGTGAATTTTAATGTCCCCACTTTGGGGAAAGGACGGTCACACTACCAGCTTTTGGACCCCAAAGCTTGTCTGGCACTTTGGTTCAGAAAGGACTTGGTCCAGTCCCTTGCTGGCTTAGGATAATACTAAAAGGCACATAAAGTTGGTGGCTCAACCACTCTGTGGCTGGAGTGGGGCAGATGGACAGGGAGGTGGTCTGGGACAGATGGGCAGAGCATGGGTGTAAGCTCAAGTTCTTGTCAACAGAGGTAGCTGGTCCTGAGTGGATGCCGGGGTGACCGCGGGCACCTGCGTGCTCAGGCTGCGTAGATGCTGCTGAGGTGGCCTTCATCTGCCCAGTCCACCAGCTCACTGCTCTGGAACCACAGCTGGATCTCTCTCTGGGCCCCCTCCACAGAGTCGCTGGCATGGATGACATTCCTGTGCCAGGTGGCAGAGGTAGGGCACAGGCTTCAGCATGCACCTCGGGGGTCCTAGGCAGAGTCTGCCGATCCCCGACTGTCTAGGGGAGTGGGTGGGTGATGGTGCAGAGGGGCAAGGAACAGAGGAGCTGGAAAACTGGGTTCCAGCCTGACCTTGGCATCTGTCCCGGGCCAACCCCTGGGGTGTCTGGAGGTAAAGTCAGGTGACAGACCCTGATGGCAGACCACAGACACAACACAGGGAATGCTTTATCATCTCCTGTGTACACGAAAAGGTTTTGAAAAGTACTGCACTAGCCAACATCAGGTGTGACATGCTACCATCGTTTTCTGGCTTCGCTTTCCCCTTAGCAAGACGCCCAGGCCCAGTGGATCTGACTTGGGCACAGGCCGCCACCCTGAGCCCCTAGGGCACTGGGCCTCAGGTCCAAGTGGCTGAGTGTGTTACCTGCTGACGTGGGTGCTGAAGTCTCCCCGGATGGTGCCAGGGGCAGCCTTGGCGGAGTTGGTGTGGCCTATCATGGCCCTCGAGGTGCAGACCACATTGGGGCCTTCCCAGACCTGCAGCAGAGAGATAGAGCAGGTGGGGAGAGGTGGGGGTCACCCAGGGCTCAACCCGGGGCCCTCCACCCTCCCACCGCCGCGGCCCTACCGTACCATGGCCACCACTGGGCCAGAGCTCATGTAGCTGATGAGGGCTGGGTAGAAGGGCTTCCTCTGCAGATCGTGGTAGTGTTCAGCAAGGATCCTCTCTGGGGCCTGGTGCATTGAGGGAAGGGGTGAGAGGGAGCCCCACCGGGCACCAGGGCAGTGGTTGTGGCATCCTGACTGCAGGGCCCTCAGCAGACAACATTGACAAGGGCTGGCGTTCCAGCTTAGCATAGACACTTCCCCGCCCCTCCCCTTCTACTGCCAGCACAAGGAGGCTGGTCCTGACACAGGGCTGAGAACAGCCCCCACCCCGGTCCCCTCAGCGACACCCACAGGCCGAAAGCCCTGGTACCTGCAGCATCTTCATCCCCACCAGCTTGAAGCCCCTCCTTTCAAAGCGCTGGATCACATCCCCGACCAGCCGCCGCTGCACCCCATCTGGCTTCACCGCAACCAGGGTCCGCTCCCGGGTCCAGGAGGGTCCTCCTGTAGAAGAGGGGGGCTCGGGGCTGCCATGGCCTCACCTTTCACATCTCCTGGACCTGGCTTCCCCTGCCAAGACCCAGGTGTCCCCTAGACTGCAGAGTTTGCCTCAACCAGAGCGGTCCTGGAGGGGAAAAGTATGGTGCCCACAGCCAGGACCGTCCAGCACGGTGGGTCCCTGGGGACTTCAGCCTGTCGCAGGGGCCATGGCCCCACCCAGGCAGGCAGTGGGAGAAGCTGCCCTTGATGGAGCTGGTGCCCCTGAGACGCCACACTGGAAAGAAAGTACAAGTCCTGATGTTCACGCCTGTACTTCGGGGAGCTAGCATAGACACGTCTGCACCCCCAAACTACCACATCAGGAGGGACCCAGCATCCATCTTCTGGGACCAGGGAGAGTGAAAAGCACTTTCCCACTGGGCCACAGGGATAGAGAGAGAAAGGGACCTGGGGATTGAGAAAGGGGGAAGGGTCCTCCCCTGACACCTTCCTTGGCCAGGCTGCTGTTGGGGTTTCAAGGCAGGACACTTGAAACCTAAAGTGTCCTAAAGTCAACACTGCCCCAGTCCTCCTCCTCTGGGCGTGACGCTGCCAGAGAGACCCCCAGCGTCATCACCCTCCTACCACCTAAAACTTCCAGAGTTAGGCTGACCCTTGGCATTGGGTCTAGGGTCAAGTGTACTCTGGAGAAGGGCCCAGACCCTGGATTGGCGCTAAGCTCTGCAGAGAGGGAGGAGAAAACTGGAGAAGAGATGAGCAGTCAGGTCCAGAAGAGCCAGTGTCCCTGGGGGCATCTGCATCTGCCTTCCCAGCCCCAGGAGGGCTTGGGAGCAGGCATCGGGTGCCCACCACACCACGTACCTTCAATGCCTTGCACTGCAGGAAGGCCCCCACCCTTATTCTCCCCCGCCCCCCACCAAGCCCAGTCCCTAGGGGCCCTGCTGTCCAGCCTGGCCTCCTGCCAGCTGGCTCCTGTCTCGGAAGATGGCAGTTTACCCTCGCCAGTATTGGAACCCCAGGACTCTGGAAGCGCCCGAGGGCCAGCTGCTGGGGCGGAGGACCCCCGGATAACTGCAAGGCTCCAGGCAGGGATATGCCTGGAGGAAAGACGCCTCAGGATAGGAGTGTTCATTTGCTGAGAATGACCTCACGCAGGAGCCCTGGGCCCGCTGGGATCCCTGCAAGCACAAAGTGTGGCCACCAAGCTTCTGGTTCCTCCTGCTGCGGAGCCCTGGGACCCCCTGCCCAGAACAAGGTGAGGTGAGCGGGGCCGTGGGGGCCTGGCTGGGAGTGGGCGGTGGCGGTGGCGGTGAGAGCTGGGGCCCCGCGGGGCAGGAACCCCAGGGGCGCGCCTCTCCAGCCCGCCTGCTCTCGGGCCTCCAGCCCCCGCGCCGGGGCCGCACGTGCGTCAGCAAAGGCCGGCGGCTCCTCGACCCGCCCCACCCCGCGCGTGGCCGCCAGGCGGGCGGACTCACCCGAGCAGGAGCGCGCGAGCAGGCTGGGGCCCAGGGCCCGCGCGCCGCACAGCAGCCCCCGCAGCGCCGCGAGCCCAGAGACGCAGCGCATGACTCCCAGCCGCCGGCGCCGGCCGAGCGCGCAGGGGAGAGGGTCCTGGGAGGAGGGGGAGGGGCGGAGGGAGGGGGAGGCGGGAGAGAAAGAAACCGGGGGAAAGGGTGGAAGGAGGGAGGCGGGAGGAGGCCGCAGGGGTGGAGGGAGAGAGGGAGGCGGGTTGGGGGAAGGAGAGGGAGGGGAAGGAGTCGAGGGAGGGCAAGCGTCCCCAGGCTTTTGCGCCTATGGCTCCTCCCCCTACCCCCCCCTGCACCCCGCACTCCCCACCCCCCCGCACCTCCCCCCAGACGCTGGTTCACTCGAGTGGACTTGGGAAGTGTCTAATGTCAATTTCTGTTAAAATCAGAAGAAAACAAAGTGCTTACAGTGCAGGTAGAAAAAAAAAAATTAGAAGAAAAAAAGAATAATGGTGATGAACCCAGCACGGATCGTGTTCGTCTTTTATATCAACGCAGTCCTTGAGTATCCTGTTGAGTTCATGCAGGTCCTCCTGCGCCTGTACCCCTGTCCTGGAAGCAGGGCCGGCTTCTGGGCTGGGCGGGCGGCGGGGAAGGGGGTGGGGTGGGGTGGGAGTGGGGCGGAGGGGTTTGCTCCCACCTGGGTCTGGATCTCCCTCTGAATTGACACCCTGAGCTGGGAGGATGGACCTGCATGGTCAGGCAAGGTCAGGCCGGGCATCCAGGCATTTGGATGGGGAAAAATCCCACCCTTATTCTTAACGGGCCTCGAACAGGAGGAATTTAGCTTCACTGAAACACCTTGCGATGCCTGTGACTTGATCATAAACAGAAATCACAGATATTCTCATTTATAGTACAGTTCAGGTTGAAAAGGTGGCAGCTTACTATTTGAATTTTGAGATCCACAGGATCTAACGTAATTAATTTTGTAAAAAACATACATACTTTAAAATTTGTTTTTTAAGCTGTGATATTTATTTGATCACACCACGCTGTGTGTGGGATCTTAGTTTCTACACCAAAGTTAAACCTAGGCCCTTGGCATTGGAAGTATAGAGTCTCAACCACTGGACTGCCAGGGAAGTCCCCATGTATATTTCTGTGTGTTGTGTGGATGGAGTTTTTTTCTTAGTGTCATTTTCAATTGTTGATTGAGAGAGTATAAAAATACAATTGAGTTTTGTATGTAGATCTTGTACCCAAAAACTTTGCTGAATTCATTTATTAGTTCTAATAGTTGCTTACTGGATTCTTCAGGATTTTGTACACTCAAGGGTCCCCAATTTAGATGCCTTTTGTTTCATTTTATTAATGAATTGCTCTGGCTGGAATCTCCAGAGGGGAGAAACATGGTGACCACAGCCAGGATCTCCAGTAAAATGTTGAATACAAGAGACTTGCTTTTTCCACTGTCTTAAGATGGGACATGATTGTTTTGTAATCTTTTTTCTTTCTTAGTATGGACACTTACAGCTATAAATTTCCCTCTAAACACTGTATTAACTGTATTCCATTTTTTTTGATATGCCTTCATTTCCTTTCATCTCAGAGTATTTTATTTTTTTAATATTTACTTTTATTATTTTTTTATTTGGCTGTGCTGGGTCTTAGTTGTGGCATGCAGGATCTTTAGTTGCAGCATGTGGAATCTAGTTTCCTGACCAGGGATTGAACCCAGAGCCCCTACATTGGGAGTGCAGAGTCTTAGTCTTTGGACCACCAGGGAAGTCCCTCTTTCTTTTTTTTAAAATTGATTTATTTCTTACTGCGTTGGGTCTTAGTTGCAGCACTTGTGATCTTTGTTTTGGGCTTCTCTCTAGTTGTGGCACACGGGCTCTGGAGCCCATGGGCTCTGTCGTTTGCAGCACATGGACTTAGTTCCCCCCTGGCTGTGGGATCTTAGTTCCCTGAATAGCGATTCAACCCACATACCCTGCATTCCAAGGTGGATTTTTCATTTCTTTTCTACACTGGGTCTTCATTGCTGCTTTCTCTTGTTTTTCGGTCACGAAGTTGTGTTAACTCTTTGCAACCCCATGTACTGCAGCACGCCAGGCTCCTCTGTCCACATCTCCTGGAGTTTGCTCAGATTCATGTCCATTAAGTCAGTGATGCTATCTAACCATCTCATCCTCTGCTGCCCCTTTCTCCTTTTGCCTTCAATCTTTCCCAGAATCCGGGTCTTTTCCGATGAGTCAGCTCTTCACATCAGGCGGCCATAGTGTCACCTGATACTTCCTTAGTACTCAGCCTTCTTTATGGTCCAGCTCGCACACCTGTACGTGACTACCGGAAAAACTGTAGCTTTGACTATATGGACTTTGTTGGCAAAGTGATATTTTTGCTTTTTGTTTGTTTGTTTGTTTTGTTTTTTATATCTTTGCTTTTTAATATAATGTCTAGGTTTGTCATAGTTTTCCTTCCAAGAAGCATGCATCTTTTAATTTCATGGCTGCAGTCACCGTCTGCAGTGATTTTGGAGCCCACGAAAATAAAATTTGTCACTGCTTTCACTCTCTCCCTTCTGTTTGCCATGAAGTTATGGTCCCAGATTCCATTATTTTAGTTTCTTTAATGTTGTGTTTTAAGCCAACTTGTTCACTCTCCCCTTTCACCCTCATCAAGAGGCTCTTTAGTTCCTCCTTGCTTTCTTCCATTAGAGTGGTATCAGCAGTGTATCTGAGGTTGTTGATATTTCTCCCAGTTTTCTCTAGTTGCAGCAAATAGGGGCCACTCTTTGTTGCAGTACACAGGCTCTGGATCTCCGGCTCGGTAGCTGTGGCCCATGGGCTTAGTTGCTCTGGGGCATGTGGGATCTTCCTGGACCGGCAGCTGAACCTGTGTCTCACTCGCCCTGAAGTCCCTTAAGTACTGTCTGATTTCCCTTTTGATTTCATATACTCTAAAAACGACAAATCAGGACTTTCCTGGTGGTCCAGTGGTTAAGAATCCACCTTCCTTGTCAATGCAGGGGACACAGATTCAACCCCTGGTGCAGGAAGGTTCCACATGCTGCGGGGCAGCTAAGCCCATGCGCCACAGCTGAGATTGCGCCCTAGAGCCCGTGCTCTGCAACAAGGGAACCCACTGCACTGCAATGAAGTGTAGACTCCTGGTTGGCAGGGCTTAGGGGCTGGAAAGGATGCACAGTCAGAGCACAGAGGATTTTCAAGGCAATGAGACTACTCTGTATGATGCTGTAATGATAGATACATGTCATTACTGTATGTGTGTGTTAGTCACTCAGTCTTGTCTGACTCTTTGTGACTCCATGGACTGCAGCCCACCAGGCTACTTTGTTCCAGGGATTCTCCAGGCAAGAATATGGGAGTGGGTTGCCATTCTCTTCTCCAGGGGATCTTCCTGACCTGCGACTCCTGCATTGTGCGCAGATTCTTTATTTGTCATTTGTCCAAACCTGCCAAAAGTGCACCACCAAGATGGAAGCCTAATGTAAACTGTGGGCTGTGGGTGATTCATGATGTAGATTCATCAGCTGTAACTACTGTACCACATGGTCTGGTGGGGATGCTGATGGTGGGGGAGGTTGTGCATGTTTGGGAGCAAGGGATGTTTGCAAACTGTACTTTCTGCTTAATTTTGCTGTGAATCTAAAACTTCTCAGAAATAAGGTCTGTTAAATACACACACACAAGGACTTCCTTGATGCTCCAGTGGCTGAGACTACATGTCCCCAGCGCAGAAGGCATGAGTTCATTCCCTGATCAGGAACTTAGATCCCACATGCTGCAACTAAGGGTTCACATGCCACAATAAAGATCGAAGATCCTGCATGCTGCAACTAAGACCTGGCGCAGCCAAAATAAATAAAATAAAATTTTTAAAGGACATACACACACACAGACCATGAAGAAAGAAAAAGACAAGTCACAGGACAGGAAAGAATGTTTCCATTGCCTAAAACCCATTCAGGTCTAGGGCTCCATGACCAGAAATCAGTGAGTGAAAGACCAATGACCCAAGAAGCACAGCAAATACTTGAAGATTAATTTCTCCAAAGAATAATTCCAGATACCCAGTAAACAGTGCAAAAGTGATCAGCCTCAGGAGTAATCAGAGAAACGCAAATGAAGATGGCACAAATCTCCAAGTCTGAAAATCCCAAATATCTGTGACAGTGTAGCCCATTGAGACTCCTCACTGGTGGTGAGACTCTCAACTGACCAAAGCCAGTCAGGTGGACAGCATGGAATTGCCAAGAAAGGGAAGAGACAAATTACAGAGTTGAGAACATATTTGCAACTCATATATCTGATCAGAATTTACAAAGAACTTTTAAAAGTCAACAACAGTAAACTGCTCAGCCCACACCCTCCTGTAACCCCCTCCCTTGGAGTGTGGACTGCACCCAGTGACAAGGAGGAAACAGCAGGAGAGGGTCTGGTCACTGATCGTGAAGGTGACCTCACCTCCCCTTCCCCCTCACTTGCTGCCCCATGGGATGAAGAACACGTGTCTCTGGCCAACAACCAGTGTGGACCTGAGACCACAGCCATGGATGCAAGTTTAGAAGCAAATCCTACCCCAAAGAGTTGCAAGGAGTCAGACACAGTGTGGACCTGAGGCCACAGCCATGGATGCAAGTTTAGAAGCAAATCTTACCCCAAAGAGTTGCAAGGAGTCAGACACGGCTGAGCACAAACACACACACACACAGGGAGATTGATGTGGTGAGTCAGGTCTCCTATTTTATTATTTGTTTTGTGTTTGCCCCCTCTGATGTTTTTCTTTTCCTCCTTTGCTGACCTTTTTGGATTAAATTAATATTTTAAAATATCATTTAATGTATTTATTGGCTTTTTAGGTATACCTTGACCTGGGAGTATGTGTGCATGCTGAGCTGTGTCTGATTCTTTGTGACTGGGTGGATTGAGGCCCACCAGGCGCCTCTGTCCATGGGATTTTCTAGGCTAGAATATTGGAGTGTGTTGCCATATCCTTCTCCATGGGGTCTTCCCAACCAGGGATAGACACTCCCTCACCCCATTTCTCGTGCCCTCTGTACAGGCAATTTCT